ATTTTCTTGAGCTTTACGCTTTAAATTGCTACTTATTTCCCTCCTCCTTATAACATTGTCATCTAAATGTAAGTGGTTATGTTCCAGATGTTCATCAAACATTTCGCCAATACTATTTCGCTTAAAATAAGATTTACAACCACGCGTTGTACATTTCCAGCGCTCTACGTCACCAGCGAGTTTTTTATGGAAAGAAAACCAAAAATTTTCTACCAATTTTTTTTCACGAATATCACTAGACATGTTAGAAAAATAATAAAAATAAATCAACGCACTAAACGACGGTGAAGATCGCGAACAGACTGAAATCTGAACAAACTGCACAAATTGATACGATTGTGTGCCATATCGCAAATCTGATAAAATTGTATAAGTAAAATTGTTATCGACATTATATTGTCAATATTTCCAATTAGCTATAGTTAAATGTTTCGGTTTTTTCGACATTATTAATATACCTATTCTATATTTTCCTTTATATTCCGTTTTATATATTTTAAATTTAAAAATATGATACACATTAACTGTATATACTATACAACAACAGAATTACGATGAGCGTAATAACATCAACGGTATTGTGTATGCTGTTTTGGAAGACAGGCGTACATATGTCTAATAATTATTGTGGAGTTTACAATTATACATTTATACCTATTTGAACATTTTTTTTGGACGGGAGCCGTTTGGGAATAAGCGAACAATAGACGGGAGCCGTTTGGGATCCGACGCTATTTTTAAACTAGTGTCGAGACACCGGAATACTTCATTCAAATACGGGACGTATAGGATTCCTATATAGGTATGATTTAAAATGTCTCGTATTTAAAAAAAATAAATCTGGGATCCTTACATCGAACCAAAGTTGGACGCATATAAAAATCTAGAAAACGTTTTTACATATCATAGGATTCTGGACTGTAAATATTCAGACCGTATTTTTACACACTAGAAACCTACATTTCATAATTTTTATACCGAATTTTTACAGAATACTCATTATAATTTTAAAAAAAAGATAACATTTTTTGCTCATATTAATTAAATCATCGGTGCGAAATACAATAATTATAATCACTGAATAACATTTGTGTAATGTAAGGATATACTCGTCCAATATGCTATGTTTAGAATCTACTGCACGTTTGATGGTTTAGTTTATGCTATCTACAGTAAATATTTTATCTATCGTCATTTTATGTTTCAAAATATTACTTTCCTAATCACATTTTTGACTAATTTTCAGAACTTTTTTTAACTCACCACCACAAATTGTTTGGTTTTTAATTTTGGTACACATTTGGTCAGTTGGTAATAAACCACGTATTTTAAAAAAAAATTGCACACATCTCTTCATTTTGAATTATGTGTCGATATATACAACTTATAATTGACAAACTCATAATAATTAATAAATAATAATAAATAAATCACAGTAAAACCGCATAAAATTGACACGACTCACAAACACATACTAATTTTTTTTTTAAGAAGTCTATGATAAATTATAAAAATGTATAAATATAATAAAATTTAGAATTTCGATAAAGCTTAATCTTAATTACAAAATGATAAAGTATATTATATAATATAAATTATAATACCCAAGTGGCAAGTAGTATATTATACTATAAAAGTATACCTACACAGTAGATACAATATTTACGGTAGCGTCGGTAGCTATCATACTAGTACTATCATAAAATTACAGTACCTAGATAGCATATTGGTCGAGTACCTCTACCTATTTAACTATTTCGTTTTAAATCGATGTTTAAAATTGTTAAAAATCAAATCCCATATCGGCCATATCTTATGATTAATTGATCAGAATTTAATAATGTTTAAAATAGACTACGTCGAATTTTGATATAACTGTGACCATAACATTGAATTGTAAACTGATAATATCATTATTGGTATTAATATTATGATTATTTCTTTTTATCCGTCGTTGTCATACACATTGCTACTAACTAGTAACTAACATTAAAAACAAATATATTTAATAATTATGTATATATATTTTAACATAAATATATCATGATTTAATTTGTTTAGATTATATTTGTTATAATTATTTTGTATTTATATTTGTTATAAATATAGGGTGTTTCATGAAGTGCGCAATTTTTGAAAATGTAATAAATCAGCTAAAATTGTCAATAAATGTAAATTTTTTATTCAAAAAAAGCTTTTTTAAAATACAATTCGATTTAATGTTTAAAAATTATATCTACCAGTGGCGTTTTCTCTGGGTGTGCAAGTTGTGTGTTAACGCCCTAAACATTGATGTCATACATGTGTGTAATATTGTAATTTGTAATTCATATTAGTATATTACATGGTTATATAATTTTATTTACAAAATCTTAAAATAATTGTCATGTAAAAATAATAATATCAAATAATAAACTATTGTTACTATTGTCTATTTTAAGCTCTAAACTCGACCATTCGCCCGCGCCGTCTGCAGCTACGACGCGCAACGGCGTCCAATAAGATTACGCCGATTACGGAATAATATTGTATTATGTTGTGTTTGTGTAGGCCGTAGGGTGTAGCCGTGTAGGACGTTAATGTTTCGAACAACGACTTGTGGTATCTAATATCTCATATTCGTAATTTGTCGTGATATTTTCGGATAACTTCGGTGCCATGTTAATACTAGACCAAGTCGTTGAAAATGAAATTAACGACTAGCCACTACTCACTAGTCTAGCGCTAGCCTATACACTGTGTTTGGACCGTTAGTGGGGATCGTCGCGGCTGCACGTTATCCTGTTTACGTCGTACACTCGAACTGCAAGACTGCAACGCCGATCGTCGAAAACATAATATATTCATTATTATATTAATTTGTACATTTTCAGTTTTATATTATATTTAATTTTATAGATGTTGGATTTGGATGTATTTTTAAAAATTTAAAAGTATTTAAAATAAATAATTTTAATAATATGTTGATTGTTAATAGTTGATACGAATTTATTTTCCGTAAGGGGAGTTTTCCTAATTGTTTTCCTCACACATTAACGCCTAACGCCGAAAGTCAGGAAACGCCACTGATATCTACCATAATATGTCCATCTCCACTGCTCTGCTGTTATTTCCAGGTCTCACATTCACACTCTTTTGCCGCAATGTTTGACTGTGTACAATTTGTGCGATTTCGATAGACTTTTTTGAGTTCCAACTGAACCAGTTTGTCAAATTTCTGTACTAACCTCAAAACTGTTAATGCATTAGGAGTTTCCTAACGTTCAAAATTCGTGCGAAGTTTTCGGACAGTCACAACTACGTACTCACCGTTTTTGTAATGAGTTTTCAATTTTCAGTGCGAGTATATTACTACTTATTGAAACGTTCCATGACAATTAAGTTTAATAAAAACGAATCAACTTCTAATCGATAAAATGATAGATGACAAAAATAATTTAAACAGGGTGTCAACCCTTCAAATAAAAAAATCCCATGCATTTCAAAAATTACGCACATTATGAAACACTCTTTAGAACTACTAGAAATACAATACATGTAAATCTTAAAATTAATAATTTCAGTGTAATCTCATCTTAGCATTTTAATTTAATATTTGACTTTTATTTAACACGTTCGTCAAGTGCCAAATTTATCGGAAAATGTTTTAAGTATCTACGTATTTTTTAGGGTATATTGTTCACTAGGATTTTGACTCAATGTTTCAATTTGTATAATATTATGTAATTGTACAATATGATCTGGTGATTTAAATTTCCAACCAAATATTTGCATATTTGTTACGGCTGTTTTTAGTATAAGTACCTATTCATATTTTCTCCAAAATTACAACGTTTACAATATCTATTTTTGGTGTTAATAATACATAAGTATCATGGTATTATACAACTATTTGTTGAAGCGCCATGTCTTAAATAAGGTTGAGGCTATTCACAGCGAACCTATTGCTCAACGTTTTCTGTTGAATTCAAAATTTGTAGTTTCATACTGGAGTAGTTATACACAATGAAAATTATATGTAGCATTTTCACCCACGGCGGGAAACGTTGGAAAGTTTGCGCTTTAGCAAGCAAATGCCGAAATAATAAAAACGCAAACTCATAATTTTACATTGTTTTAAATTAGTAGAGACTATATTGATAATGAAAAACACTCAATATAACCCAAGCCTATGGCTAACTAGTATATTAATTAAAACACCATCATAATATGTAATTGATTTTGTAAATAAGAAGGCAATAAAAAATCCCTTTAAAATATGTATCATACAGATATATTTTATTTATTATAACAAAATGTAAAGAGTACCTATAGGTATTAAATATTAATTATTGTGTATTATTTTATTTAGTGCAATATTTAAATTAATTTATTAAACTTACTAGGTATATATTATTTCATATATGTATTAAAAATTAAAATATATGTAACCTAGCTGTTAATGCAGGAAATGATCAGAAGTCCATATCAATGATTTTAATGTATACCTAATTAGATATTTGTATGCATTTTTTTTTTATACAATATTGTTTCTACTTGGTGTGTTAAAATTGAAACAATTTTTAGTCTTCCAGAACGAAGAAAATATTTTTTTTTAAAGGTTCTACATAACTATTTTTCACAGGGCCCTGTATTTTGTAACACCAGTTCTAATATTTACATTCCTGAATTTGATAATATTGAAACCTAAGCTAATGTAAAAACTTTCAATGAGTTTTTCAACTTTCAGCCATGTTAGGAAATAAAAAATAAATATGTGCACAATATTGAATATTATGATTTTACATTCAACAGATTAGCGGTTATAAAAGGTTTCAATAAGTAAGTAGTTCGCTCATTTTGTCATTGGAGTGCTAGCTGTATTTCTCATTTTTACAAACAGCTGATTTTTACAAGTTGCTTTGGCTATCATTATGAAATTCAGTTTTGATAGTGTGTGGAACCAGTTATCTTAAAGTTAAAAAGGTGACTCAAGAAGTCTGAATAGTAAACATTTATTTAAAAAACTAAAAATATAAATACCCACCTGATTTGACATCGACTACAAAATCGTTAGAACAAAGTAAACTATCGATAATCGAACAACTCGATTGTCGTTATTACGTCGTGTTGACGTGTTATGATATCTGTGAACACTGCACAATCGAATTATTACTGTTCTGTGGTAAATACAGTACCTTTATAATCGTACCGCTACATCAGTGCGCGGACACGCCGGACACTATCACTAGTATCAGCGACAGCCGACAACTGACAAGTGACAACCACAGTCCACAATACTATTTTAGAAGAGTAACAGCATCAACGACAACACTATAGCCGTAATCACGGCGAGACTTGGGTCGCCTGCGCAGTAGGATTTTAACGTTTTTCATAGCTTACTCGATTGGCAATGGTCGCAGGACGCCAAGAAGTAATTAACTTGTACAAGACCGTAAGTGTATGCTTGTATTTTATAAGTGCCAATTATTAGTGGGTATCTCAAACAGTCAATCTTACCTACGCCAATATTACCATGTTGACCGCGAATTTCCTATTTAAGGTTGTTAAAATCTGATCACAATTGATCGGGATCGTGCGTAGGGATAACGATTGACTATTTATGTTTGGGTAGTTTGTCATTTTTGGAGGGAGGAAGGTACTTGTTGGATTCAATCATATTAACATCATCATTTATTCACGTCATATTATATTACATCTCGTACGGAACCTGAATGTGACGTAAACAGATAATACGAAATTTGTTTTTTTTTTTTCAATATCGCTGCCTTCAATGTTATGTGTGAGAATTGATTTAAAAATACTTCATATTACCTTGTCATAAAAAAATAAACGTAATATATTATATTGTGCATACAGTCTACATTACACTCTACAATGCAAATTTTTTCTAACGAAGATTTTAATGAAATAATGTTTTTCAATTTTTCTACAGTCTATTTTTAGTCCAAAAATCTAACTTCAAGCCAATTTTGTATAGGTATTTATTGCATTTCGTCCGAATGGGGGGTGACTGAAGGCATTATAGACTCGACCTTCAGAAGACGAAGTTGTAATATATTTTTGTTATAGTATTGTTACGTAAGACAACCCGTTTCAATACTTCATTGTTATCACATTAATATTATTTATTAGTAGTATAACTATTTTAATATTAAAATATTATACACTTATTATTCTCAAAGAATTGTCTTCGATTCACTTCCATCTCAAAAAAGTCCCTTTAAATACATCATTGGGTATAAAATATTATATATTTGTATTCTGTACCGTAACTTGGAGTTTATTTGTTTTAAAAAATGAAAAATACTTATATTTTTATAAATTGTGTCTACAAATATAGCTGTGATCGCGGAGAAGCTGACTCCTTTCTAGTTTTCTACCCCTTAAACAATTTACCAAATTATAATTACCTACTTGTAAACATTAATATTTACTATATTATAAAGTCATTAGCAATTCTAGAAGCATTATAAAATTATAAAATTAAGGAAAATATATCAAATTAGTACAATGATTATCCCATATTTAGTGATCAAAATATGTATAAAAAAAAAGTTAAATCTTCAAAAAGTTCCAAAAAAAAAAAGTCTTTTTAAATTGAAAAATTATTTTTAAAAAATATTATAAAATATTAATCATGCATACAACAAATTTACTAATGAATAAACAATGAGTAAATTTACGATAAATTAAAACTATAACTTATCGTAAATTCGTAAATAAGGTAATAGTGTGACTTATTGGCGCAATATAGGTAAATTGCACATGCGCCATTGTCGTCAAATTAATATTTGTCTGTGATGGTGGCAATAAATATACTTACTTAAAATAATATTGCGTTTTTTATTTTATCTACTTACTTAAAATACATAGGTTAAGAAAAAAAATGTAGACATTATTAAATATGCTTAATATGCATAGGAAAATCAATAAAATATGCACTGTTTTCTTAATATTGACGAAATATGCGAAATATACATTTTCAATTTTTAAACTTGTCTAGTTCAGATATCTAGCTTATGATCTGGTGTAAATCGATAACACATAGAACAAGTGCAACTTCTACAACTTCTGAGACTAATTAGTATAATTACATGAAATAAACACAGAAAATTAATATTCAAACTTAATTATATTTTAAAAATAAAATATATTGTAGTATACAGCATAGTGTATACTGTACACCTAATACCTATTTAATAAATAGATGGGCTAAACAATGTCTTTGTTACCATTTTTAAGTATTGGGGAATATTCTTTATCTTCCGCTGTTGCTCTACAGATTTTGCATAACCTACTTATATTCGTATACAAATTGTGTGATATTCAGTGACATCAAGTCCCACTTACGGATGTTAAAAATAATGTAGCTTTACCATTATTTTTATAACTTTACTAATCGAATAGAGTGGATAATCTTAATGAATATATAAGTCTACTATATCTCGGAATAGTAAATAATTATATCAATGACCTATTAGAAGTTTTAATAAATAGGTATAAAAAATTATTATTATCAATGCCTATTTTAATGATGTTATTTACTACTTACACCGTTCTGAATAATAAAATTTCTTCAAGTTCGGATGTTAGCAATAATCATTATTGTTTACAAATATTATTGCAATTTGAAATATATATATATTTTTTATATATACATTAGATTATATCACAAAACAAATGATTAAATACATATATTTTAAACTTCATGTTCTAAAGAGAAATATTTTACCGATAATTTTCGTACAAAAAATTTAGAATTTCAAACGAGTAGTTACTATTAATTAAAACTTTATATAGGTACATTGTAAGTTGCAAATAAGTATATAACTTAAATAATAATAATTATGCAAATAAAATTTCAAAATATATCAAATTAAATTGGTTTTATTTCAATTAAAATAATCTAAATTGTAAATATTGTTTATCAAATGAAAAATATATCATTCCGATAAAATCTGTTCCTTACTTATAGTTATAAGCAGGGCTGGGATAGTATAGGATTTTGCATTTTTTTTTCTAGGATTTACAGGATATATATAGCTTTTCAAGCACAAAATGTGATTTGGTCATCTACGAGTTCAAATATATAGTTTTTATTTTGCATATTTTTGCATTTTTTGTACTTTTTTGAATGTAGGGTCATTTTTTTATACTTAATTAAAATCTGGGTTTTATTTTTATAAATTTTTAATTTTTTAAAATTTTAAATGGTCGTTATTGATTGTTATAAATTATTGTACAAACATATAAAGATACAACATTAAAATAAAATCATAAATATATTTTCTAAAAATATTTAATACTTCAAAATACCAATCGTTTATATGTTTAATATAAAATATACTCGTTAGATTAACAGAGTAATAATCGATAATAATGTTTGATTACGTGTTATCTTCATCAATTTATTATTAAATTTAACGTGCCAATACCTATTCATTATACGTATGATATTGGCTATTATACCAGAAGATGAATTTATTTTTATACTCATAAATATTAATTATTATTTATTAATTTATTAATATATTTATTTTTTTTTCGATCATTTTTTTTGATCATTTTTAGTTTTTATTAGGTTTTTTAAATCATTAAAATCCTAGCCCTAGTTATAACTTATGAGTAAAGCACGGATTTTTATACACTAAAATGTGTAGAAATATATCATATAATATGCAGTAAAAATCATGAAAATATGCAAGAAAATTTTTTTATTTATATAAAATTCATAAATCCGCATTTTATAGATACTTGATATTTTTCGAAATTACGTACTACATAAGTATATTATTATCTTCTACACGATACAATTTTTAAAATATTTACTATTTATACCACGAATCTATTTATTTTATTCTGTAGTATGTGTAAGTTATAATAATAGTATATTATGACATAAAAATATTACAATAACTAACAAAATAACAAATCGATAATAGTTATTTACTTTTTCAAAAATTAGTTCAATCTATTTTACATATCTTATTATTAATAAATTAATATAATATATATCATAAAAATATTCTTAAAAATAGATGCTAACAAACCAACTTTGCGCTGAATCATTAATTTTATGTAATTTTTTTCATTAAGTTCAAAATTGCATACACTTATGATAATTTACATTGTACAATGTGCTATACATTATTAGGTAGATACACTGGAAAGTTGAAATATACTTATACAACAGACTGCAGAGCGATTTCATGAGTTTAAAAAAATATATATACCTATTGATCAATATATTTTATTATTCTACGAGGTAATTATGAAATAGGAATTATTATTGATTCAAATTGAAAATGACAAGTATTTTCGTATACAATTTCAACGCAGCATCCACACAAGTAGACTTATTGTTGTTGGTACGTAGGTAAAGAGATAATGATAATTATAAAATATAATTTCACAACAGCATTAAATGATTCTTTAATGCATGGGTATGGATTTTTTTATTTCAACAGTATCAGGTTATTAGCCATAAATAAGTAGGCACTAAAAAATCCCAGATAGGTAATCTTTCTGTGATTTGGTTTTTGTACAGTATTAAATATAAAAATCACACAAAGTTAAAAAAAAATATTATGTTACTAAGTATTTAATTTTTTATAGCATTAACATCACATTATCAGTATAAAATAGTATTATAAACAAATTATTTTTATTGCAGTTACTTTATATGGGACGAGACTATCCTCAGGGTTATGACTTTTTTCGTTCGCGGTTGAAGAAAGCTTTTCAACGTAACAGTGATATCAGTGATCCCGAACAAATAAAAATGTTAGTTAAACGTGGCGAATTTGTCGTCAAAGAAATCGAAGCTCTCTACATGCTCAAAAAATACAGAACATTAAAAGATAGGTATTCAACAGAAAAGAATCAATCGTAGTCAATAGATTTATTTTTTATAGATTTTTTTTTATATATATATATATATTATTATAAAAATTGCATAGTGTACAGTTTTTTTTTTTTTTATATTTATGTTGTTTAAGCTTACAAACAAAATAATAATAATAAAAATAAAAATTTATTGGTATATGCGTGTTTATAACCTATTGTGTTTTACTCATAAGTGCATAAACAGAAAAAAAGCTGTTTTAAATGCAAGTATTAACAATATTAATTAGATTTAAGCGGTTTCAATAGTTTTAAAATGAACATTAAAATAAATTTTAAATTAAATAATATTGAAAATTATTTATTTGAAGTTATAATTAGTTTTAAGACAGAAGCATGAAGTAAAAACAAATATAGGCCACAAAAATAATAAACAATAAAATAAAATTATACAATATTCTATTATTTTCTTAAAGGGTTCAAGTTAAAATTGTTAATTTAATAATATCATATAAAATTAAAATGTATAATACATACATATATTTATTCCTGGGGTAAAACAAGAGATCAAACGTTCAAATATAGTTTTTTCTACAATTTCACACAAATGTTTATCCAATTTAATGTTTTTAGATAATTTTTAGAACTCAAAAAAATAAATAAAAATATCACTCGAGACTTCTGCATTCTTTTTAAGAATACAAATATCATCAATACTTCAATTATAGATTGATAAAATAAAATATAAAATATATTTGGTGCAAAACCCTAAAGCCTAAATTTATGTTTTACTAAGTTAAGTTATAAACTTTAATACATTATTTTGTTAAAAATAAATTAAACCTTAACAAATTTTAAATTGATTAAATACAAAAAAAAAATTAGTGCTCCAATTTTTCTAGTAAAATTAATAGTTGGTTCTTAACTCAATTTATTTAAATTAATTTATTAAATTAAATTGTGTTAGAATATATAATATATTATATTAATTTAGCATTTTTATTACACCTTTAATTAGCTTTTTAACGCTTGTAAGCGATTTTTCATTTCTTCTAGGTCATCATCCTCTTCAACTGTTTCAGTTTCTTGTAGTACTGAACCACCTGGTGTTTCAGTAACTGCCATAGGTGCTTGACCTAATGCTCCTGCTGTTATTTCCCATAATACCTGTAAATATTATACATTTTATTAATTCAGATTATACTATTTTAATTTAATTATTTTTAAATGTACTTTATCAATTTCAGACTGCGCTTCTTCTTCCATATCTTCGGGATCATCCATTACATTCTCCATTGTATCGTCTAACATTTCTTCAATGATTCCAGCCTAAAGTCAAATTTATTTATATGGGTCAACCTTAATTTAATATTATACAAACCTTCATCATTTCCTTAGACAAATCTCTCATAGTAGCTGCGACTTCAGGCACTCTGATCAAATTGTGCATTGTTTGCATTACTTCTGTAGACTTTTGCAATGAACCTGCCATTCTCAGAACGGCTAAAATAAATAATCAAATATAAATTATGGTATACAAATACAGATGTAAAATTGATTAAAACCTTACACAGTTGATTTTTCATTTGCATCTGTATAGAATTCATATGTGTTTTTGACGTAATCAGTTTATTGATGGTCTTGCGTGACCTTAGTATTTCTTTGGCCAAAATGATGCATACATCTTTGTTTCCTTTTTTGGCTGCTTCCTTCATCGAACGCTTAACCTTTTCTTCTTCTCTCTGAATACCTGTATCACAAAGATCATACCAAGTCCCCAACCAATATAGTAATTTATTAAAAAATTATTTTAATTATACATGTATGAAAAAAATGCATTTCTGTTAAATACACACAATATAACACTACTATATTCACCTCTTATCTGTCGGTCTAGTTTATACGTCTCTTTGCGTATGGTTGATGTCCATTGTTTAACCTACAACGCACAGGGAAAAAAACAATTTCATAAAATAATGCGATAAGTTTGCACAGTCGGTTGACTACGATTACTCACTTGATCCTTGGGATCGACGGTGGCCGATTTACCGAATATACCCATATTGATGGTAGTCAATGTATGACGCACGCGTTGTTTATTAATCACGTGCTGCTGACGACGTCTCCGTTCATAATAACAATGAAAATGATGGCAAAATTAGTCAGATTGGTTTCCGACGTGAATGCAATTGAAGCGAGCTTAGAGCTTTGGCGTTTAGAGAAACTTTACATCGCTTATCACAGTAATGAGTATAGCTTGTTATGGTTTCATTATCTGTAATAACGCGCATCGTCAACATCGCTTATCATGGTTAAATATGCTTATGATACGCCCAGTCATATGTTTTCGATAATACTATGTATTCTCAACTATGATCAGTATCACGTGAACTGTGCAGAGTCCCGGTTATTTGGCCTTGAACACGAGTTACGTCTGCACTTCCACCGCCTGTCAGTAATTACTAATTTATTATTTAGTCCTAAACAGTTGTCACTTTCGTCTTTCTAGTTTTAGTCTATCTCAGAGTTCAGAGACCGGATGACAGACTACGGTGACTAGTGCTCTCTAGACTAGACGTCTGTAGTACTAAAAACTTGTTAGTGGACCACATAAGATATTTTTAGTTTCCTTTCGTTCGAATTTCGTTGTATTACTACCCATCAAAAATGTTTCGGTTGATGAACAAGATTTCCGGTTCCACAATTCCGGTGATACAAAAGTGTTTTGCCAGTAGCATCCCTAAACCAATAATCAACCCGCCGATCAAGTATACTGAGGTAATATTTTGTTATAAATAATGATTATTATTATATAACCTGTTGCTAATTTGCCACGTCTGTTTGCTCGAGCAATAGTATTTTGACGATCATGAACTACTAACTAGTTACTTGTGAAAGAACGTGTTCATAAATAAAAATACCATGCAAATCATACTAGTCATAGCATGATACAGTTAATGTATTTCTGAGTACCTAAATGCATTCAGTGTATATTTAACTCTGATTATAATAATAAATTCTGTACTTGTATATCTATTATAAAGATAACCTTTAGTGATTATTTCATTTTATAATAATTATAATTTTTAAAATGTATAGACTAATATTTTCTATATGCTGTCTTTCTTTATAATTTTAAATTTAACCTATTAATAAGTATTTCAAAATGAAGGTTTATATTTCTGTTTAATTTTTAATCACAATAAAAATCTTTCTATTTAGGTAACTATTGGAATTTGATATGAAATACATTATATACTTTTATGGGCAGATAAGCAACTTTTGGTCTACCTGGAAATATTTGTTAGGGCCTCATAAGTCATATTATAAATAATGAAAAATATATTAATAGAGACATTATTTTTATACTAACAATCTTTTCTCACTTCTGTTTTGAAAATAAATTTCTAAGAAATGTATTAAAATATTATAATACAGTACCTATTTAAAATGTACAATTTTTTACTTAAGCCTGAGGTAGTCCAAATGATACCTGATAAATTTTAAAGGTTATTATTAACATATATTTAAAAATATATTTTAAAATAATAGTTAAATTATAACAAATTTGTATTGATTAATAATAAGTTTAAAAACAAACATTTAATATAATATTAATTTGCTAGGTAAACATTGTATTTCTAGAATCCAATTCGTTAATAATTTCATTTGAGTCAGTGCTTGGTAATAAGTCTTTTTCAATACCTTCATTAATATAAAACTTTCCAGCATGTTTTGATTCAGGGTGTTTCTTAATTCTTCACAGACTGAATTCTTTATCCTCCAATACTTATCTATGATAAATTATAGTTTTTCAAGTACCTATACCTATATTTAAAATAATGTAGTTGCATGTAATACAGATATACAGCTGTATTTTTAGACATTGCATATACATTTAATAGGTTGCAGTAAATTGTATATTAGTTAACTTTAAATTGATTCTATATACCTAACTTAGGTATTATAATTATTTTCATTTATAATGAGCTTAGTGGCATAATTATGATTTTTTTTTTGGGGGGGGGAAGGATATATCATTTATAGGATAAACATGAAAGTCCAAACACCATGTCTAGGGTTGTTAAATTTTGAAACTACCAAACCAGGACATTATATTGAAGTCTTTTTTTTTTTGCTTATTTGAAATGGAAATAAGTAGGTATATCCTTTAAGGCTCTGGAGGATCTATCCCCAATAAATAACTATGCCACTAAATGAGCTTCATAATTGTTTTAATTTATATTATCTAATCATCTATCTATGTAGATAATTATACAGTTCAGATTTTTATTTTAGGCACCACTTACTCTTAAGTATATTACTAGGGCTTCTTAGCATTTATATGTTTTCATTTTTCAAAGTGAGATTATTTTTCAGCTATTTTAATATTAATATCTTTTAAACAATTTTTATTAATATTAAGAAATTCTCTGCAACTATAATTAAAAATATATTTTTTCAAAGTTTTTTAAATATATATAAATATATATACATAAATATTATTTTTATAATTACCAAAGTTGAAGTTCATTATTTCTTGAAGAAAATAAAATGTTTTATCAATATAGATTAATTCTATACACTGTCTATTGTATTAGGTACATTATTATTTTAGTAGTATCTATATATTTTATACCGTATTGCTTGTACTACTATTTATATTATAAATATTTATATTGTTATGAAAGCATTATAAAATAATGTGTATCTTTGTCTCAGTCTTATTAACACATAAAATAGACAATTTAATGCTCAGAAGATTTTGTTTAATTGTATTAATTTTAATATTAAAGTAAATTGATAAATTATAAAATTTAAATGTAAGAATTTTATTTAGGGAGCTTTAAAAAATATTTTTCTAATATTTTAATTTTGAAGTACAGTTATAATTATTTTAAAATTCAAAATGTTGCCTATTATCAAATCTCAATCCTTAGGTATTTAAAACAATTACATGGAAAAATATTTCCATTTTATTTGTAGGATAAGAAACTTTTTACAATCACATAAACATTAAAATTTACTATTAGATATTTAATGTATAATACACTTTTTTATTAAAATATTTAATTTCTATTTTTTTAAGTAGGTAATTTATACAATTTAGGCAATTTTATGTATTCACTACAATTTAATGGGTATACAGTTATACTAGTATGAGCAATTATATTAAAATTATTATTTTAAAGTATTTTAAACAAGATTTCAAATGTCTTTCAGACAATTTAATCCTGACTTACTAATTTTTAATTTATACTTTGAAGTATAATAAATTTATATTCTTAAAATGCAGATAAATATGTACATACAGTGTTTAATATTTGTATCATCTGTTTGGGTATTGCTTATGAGAATTTATCTATATTTGACAATTTTATTAATTTAAATGCCGAGCGATTTAAGTTAATAAAATTACAATGAGTTAAAAGTAAGGTAATAAGGTGAGTGGGGTAAATAGTGTATTATTTTGAGAATGCGTGATGATAATATATATTTTATTTGATAACTACCTAGCTCATCAAATCTGTTCCAATCACTTAATGTGAAAATTTATTGGTGAGTGAGTAGGAGAGTATTTTTTTACAATATACCCGATTTTAGATTAAGCAATAAAGCAATATATGATAATTGCTAAATAATTATTTCTGATCTTTTGTAAAAATAATTTGGATTGGTCTTTATTAAATTCATCTTCAAAAGTGTTGAATTTGAATTATTATTTTAAAAAAATAATAAAGCAGGAGAAATATTTAGTTAGGTATAGAAATAAAATTCTCCAATTAGCTTTAAACTTGAATAATACTTGGATAAAAAAATAACATAATAATTGGATGCACTATGGAGTGGGTGACTGAGCACCATTTTCTATGTTATGTAGGTTTTTAAAGATGTTACAAGATGTTGCTTTTAAATGTAATCAAACCATATATTGACTCAACCATATGCGTGTTTAGATTGAGACATTAATAATAGGTATTAAATTTGTATTATGAGTTAATTTAATGATTGATGTTTTAAATGTAATGATTATTCTTATAAATGAATCTATGTATAAATAAGTTCTTTATAACATTTAATATATTTTATTAAATCTAAATATTTAAAATATTATTAAATTAGTTTGTATGAAATATCATAATGTGTTATGATATACAGTATATTATTATTCATTACATAAGTTTTATTTTTTGATAAAGCCAACTTCATTTTATATTCTTGTATGCTTGACTATAATATAACATTGTGTTCATATCTATTTTCACCTTGAAGTATTTTTACAATTTTATATTTATTAATTTAATTGATGGTGTTTCTTTTAGTTATTTATTAATAATGAATTTGTGAAATCTTCATCTGGAAGGACGTTTGATACGCTCAATCCAGCTACTGGTGAACCAATTGCTCAAGTTCAAGAAGGGGATGCTGTATGTTGCATATTTTTACCTTTGTTATTTTCTTGTTTTTGTTATATTTTATAAAGTTGTTTAATGATCTATTTAGGTGGATATTAACAATGCAGTTGCTGCTGCTCAAGAAGCATTTAAGTTAAACAGCCCTTGGCGCACAATGGATGCTTCAAAACGTGGTATGCTTCTTTACAAATTAGCAGACTTAATTCAACGAGATGCTGTTTATTTAGCTGTAAGAACTACTACCTAACTAATGTATATTTTGTGAGATTTTAAGTTAAGTTAAATTAAATTAATTTATTTTTAGTCCTTGGAAGCACTGGACAATGGTAAACCTTATAGTGTTGCATTGTCAGATGATGTACAAGGACTTATTGGTGTATTACGCTACTTTGCTGGTTGGGCTGACAAAAATCACGGTAAAGTTACTCCAATTGATGGTGATTATTTTTCATATACACGACACGAAGCTGTTGGTGTATGTGGTCAAATTATCCCTTGGAATTTCCCATTATTAATGTTATCTTGGAAAATTGGACCAGCTTTGGCCGCGGGTAAATTATTTAATAACTAAAAAGTTGTATATATATATAATATGTATTATAATAATATTTTATCTAATGTAATTTTTATCAGGAAATGTTGTTGTTCTAAAGCCAGCTGAACAAACTCCTCTTACTGCTTTATACATTGCTAGTCTTGTGAAAGAAGCAGGATTCCCACCCGGTGTTGTTAATATCGTTCCTGGTTATGGTCCAACTGCTGGAAAAGCTATTGTTGATCACCTTGGTGTAGATAAAATTGCATTTACTGGTTCAACTGAGGTAATTGAATAACTTGGAAATTTTAAAAGTACTATATTTTGATTGTATGTTTCAATTAGGTTGGCAAAATCATAGCTGAAAGTGCTGCTAAAAGCAATCTTAAGAGAGTAACATTGGAATTAGGTGGTAAATCTCCAAATATAGTTTTCAGCGATTCTGACATTAATTACGCGGTAGAAGGTGCTCATTTTGGGCTTTTCTATAATATGGTTAGTTTTAAAATTATATAACATTATGTAATTCATAAAACTCAAATCATTATGATTTAGGGACAATGTTGTTGTGCTGGTTCTCGGACATTTGTTCAAGATTCAATTTATGATGAGTTTGTTGAGAAAAGTGCAAAACGAGCAGAAAAACGTATTGTAGGAGATCAATTCGATCCAAAAACACACCAAGGACCACAGGTAAAATTATATTTTAATGATACTCCTAAAATATAAATACTTTATGAACTAAATTATTATAATGTAATTAGGTTGATGAAGAACAATTAAACAAAATTCTTAGCATGATTGATAGTGGAAAAAAACAAGGAGCTACACTTGTCACCGGTGGCTCACGAGTTGGTGACAAGGGCTATTTTATACAACCAACTGTATTTGCTGATGTTAAAGATGATATGAAAATAGCAAAAGAAGAAGTACAATTTAAAATTACATACATCTATGTATTTAAGTGTTATTATTTAATAAATCATTATTTTAATTATATAGATTTTTGGCCCTGTACAACAAATATTAAAGTTCAGTGATTTTGACGAGGTAATTAGCCGAGCCAACAATTCTGATTATGGTTTGGCAGCAGCAGTGTTTTCAAAGAACATAGACACAGTAAATAAAGCTGTCCAGAGTTTTAGAGCTGGAACTGTTTGGTAAGTAATAAGAATTACTTGAATATATTTTTTTTTATTTAATCTAAAATGATTTATATAAACAGGGTTAATTGTTACAATGTGCTTGGAGTACAAGCACCATTTGGCGGTTTCAAAATGTCTGGTTATGGAAGAGAATTGGGTGAATATGGTCTGAAAGCGTATACTGAAATAAAATCAGTTATCATTGCTACACCAAAAAAAAATAATTAATATATTTTTTTTATGTCATGTTAATTTTGTTTAAATTTTATACTTATTATTTTTGAAACTCAATAATCAATTGTGCCATTTTTTAAGTTACATTGTTCCAAAAAGTTTTAAACTAAAGTTATTTCACTATGTCATTATTATTTAACTAATAAATTACTTCAAGAAAAATATATGCAACTTTTTCAATGTAATATTTTATCAAAATAATGTATTCCTATTTTTAAACCACTCAATAAAACAGGTAATAGTAGTTATTACTAATTAATATTTAATATTTAATGTTCACATTTTTAAAATATCTATCACATAGAACGAGGGAAACTATTTTTATTACAATGTTATACCTTGAAAATATTTAATAATTTTCTTACATTCTAATTCATTTAATAATATAAGAACATATACACAAATTTATTTGTTATCTTTATTAGATTTTTTTTTTATCTATATAATTGAAATTTTTTTCACTGATCATTTTTTTTATTTTTGGGTATATTGTATTAAATTAATTACCTTTTGTAAGAACAATAAATTTAGTGTTCAATATGGCTGTATAGCATACCATGAGAATATGATTGGTGCCTTCATAACAAATTAACAAGTACATGCAGCTAAGTAATAATTAAATTTAGCAATTTTTATTAATTTTATATAATAATGTATTTTTGAATACATAAATTGCATACATGAAATGCTGTCACTTTTGAATTATAATAAATTACAGCTAAGCAGAAGCGTTCACAAAGTAGTAAGTAGCTCTCTAGGTACAACAATTTTCTAGGATTAATGTAAGCTATGGGATTGAGATATGCCTGTTAATTGCTATAAACACGCTTGATGTGTGTGCCTTTATTGTTTGCGATATCTGTTATATATATTAGCTTCCACTCATGGTTTATCTACTGTTATTACGTGCATTAATTCATGTACAGTTTTTTCTATCTCAATAGAAACTTCTTTAATCGATTCTTTTGAATTTTGTCATATTTGATTTAGTTGCACTTGTAAGTACAATACAGAATTCGCCAAACTGAAAATAGTTCAAAAAACTTTTTAATACTTACCGTATTTGTCTAAAATGCGTCACTTTTAAATTGAGCTTGTAAATAGCTTCTAGAATATTTGTTTTTAAATTATTGAGAATGTATTTTTAAAAATAAACTCACATTTATAATTAACATTCATAATAATAATGATCGCTAATTTTTTTAATTTGTGCAGTATAAATTATAAAGAATGCTAGTAATTAATTTATTGTATCAACTTGAAAGTATTAAGTTTATAAATAATTTAATCTTAGGAAATAAAAGTAAATTGGTAAAATTAATATTTGTAAAAAAAAAATAAATTGGACAATCACACTCAAAAGTTGTATGAAAAAGTTTAAAGGAAAACTATAAAAGGACGTCAAGTTCATTATAATTTAGAAAAGTATAATTGACCGAACAAAATTTAGAAAATCTTCCTCAATGAAAATTAAATCCTACAAAGTCTGATAGCAATCCAACACTTTTTAACAAGTTAAAAATGAATTTTTGGATATAATTAATTGTAAATGTCTGTTATGGTTGTGTTTCTAAATTTATGGGGGTGACACAGAACGTAATACCTATTCGTTGTTTTTGTATTTCATAAATAAAATAAGACTTTGGCATTGACTCAACGGATAAGTTTAATATATCGATCCATCAAATAACTTCATTGAGGTATGTGAATATTATTTCAAATTTATTAAGACGCATATTCTCGTTGATGGGACCTATCCTATCGTTTATATTAGTTCAGACTGTAAAATTTAAACGAATTGTATTTCTCGAGTGTGTTATTCTAAAATTATCGAGCTTAGTGTATAGTGGAGGTATATATTAGTGATAGAATCAAAAAAATCAAGACGGAAGCAGAGTACTAATAAATTGAACAGATGTGGTGGAGATACACAAATTATTAGAGTGGTGTAATTTTGATTGTATTGCTTAAAAATATAGTTGTACATTTGTCTAAAATTTTAAATCAATTCGAAGAGTACGGCACGTATATAAAATAAATGGCCGAGAAAGCACCACCAAAAAATTAATTAAGAACTATTGCAAGGAAATATTAATTTCGTATTTTTGTCTCTTGTACTGGGCGTCGTAGACGGCACCCTTTGTATAATTTAAAATTAAGACGCCCTTAGAACAGGGCCTACTTGGCTTATATGTTAATTCGCAACTGATCATTAGAAATGATTAATTACAAAAGAATAAATGAAAACTATAGTCTATAATGAATTCAATATTTTATTAATTAACATTAGGTATTTATAGGTATAAAACAAAAGAGAACATGGATAAATATAAGTATAGATAGGTTAGATATAAATGAAAAAAAAAAATTCATCTGAATCCATATTTTTTTATGATTTTCTTTTTTTTTTTTATTTCCTTCAACGTTTTGAGTTTGCCTGTGAAAATATTTATATTTTAAACATTAAACATATGAATATTCAACAAAATTATTTAACTTTTTAAAACTTTACACGACTACATAAAAATATAACCGTATAAATAATTTCTTTACGTCATTGTGTAACGAAAATGTAGGTATTATACTTCTAAAGTAGTGTCATAAATATTGTTGATTACGTTTTCTGAATGTTTCTTCTACATTACGTTTGACAGAGCACGACTTTTTTATTTTACAACTCAGCTTAGGAGTTCGACAATTTTTCGTTGTGTGGTACGGGTCATCCGTGCATTCGTATTTAAACCTTACTACCTGATCCGAACAGATTTTGTTTGGTGGTTGTGCGGTTAACGTAGTGCACTCAAAACAGGGCGGGGTAACGGGCATAATACTTGTCGCGGTGATATCATGAAACTTAAAATAAAAAATAAATAAATTATAATTACAAAATAGTCTACAATTCACTAAGGGCAATATTATATTGTTTTTAATAACTTTTATTTGAAAGGATAATAATATGTACAACTTATCGTCGTACAACTGCGATAGTCGGCTGACAATGATAAATTTTTTACATGACACATCGGTTTTACGGTCGAGAAGAAAAGTGTGGAGGGCCGATAACAATAACGAGTAACAGAAAATATCTTTTAAGTGAAATACTGTTAAAATTAAAAGAAAAAAAAAGTTGAAATTATTGTACTAAATTTATTTAACTCATTTTATTATTTTTATATTACAATTAAGATGTAATAAAAATAAAAATTATAGGTTTCAAATAGGTATACTTACATTTCGGCCTTGTTGGATAGTATCTAAAATGAATGTTTTACCAATAGTGCTACTGATAAGGTATGTCGCGAACGTAATAAGGGAAATTCGAAGATTAATTGAGTTTTCCATATTTTATAAGTCTCGAAGAGCGTAAAATATACCATTTGTATATAGCGTGACGGGAAACTAAATCACAATGAAATATATTCTTAAATAGTAATATAACAAACAAAAACTTTGGAATATATCTTGGTTTCCTTGCAACAGACTAAATTATTTATAGATAAATTATTCAAGCCGAATTAACTTCTGGGAGACAGTGTGCAAAAAATAAAATTAAAAGAAAAAAATATGTGAGCATGGTTGATGAATCAACCTGTCTATTACATAAATATTAGGCCTATATCTTTAACTTTTCAAAGTAGCCGTTCTGTGTTTTGGTTTTGACATATTATAAGTAAACTTTTAGATTCTTTATATTTTTAAGCATTACGTGTAGACATAGGTATTATTAATATATACAAATTGTGATAATGATGCCATTTTCAAATAGTGATGAAAATCATGAATAGTTACTGAATTCAGATGGTACTCTACTAGCGTAATACAACTTATTAATTTAGGACCTGAGTATATACAGTTGTATACTATATTATAATTTATTAGAAAGAGGCGTATTATTTTAATTTCAAAATGAGTCACGATTTTCAAAATAATTTGACTCGTTTTGATTACTATAAAAGAAATAATTTTTAATTAAAATAAATATTTATACCATATCAAGCTATAGGTACATATTTATAATAATAATATTATTATTATGTATAATACACAGGTACATAATATGTGCGTGTGTGCGGCATTCATATATTGTTTCGTTATTATAGGTACCTATTCTATCTTAAAATATCTTTTATTTTCGATTTGTGCCGTCTTATTTTACAGTCTTATTATAATGTTAGTGTGTTCAATGTGTATTAATTTTTCCAGGAGCATAGCATTTGGTGAAAGATGATATTTGTGTTTGGCCACTTTAATCAAACAAGTTTTTAACCGATTAGCTTGTTTTAAAATATTTTTGACCTATACTCAAAAATAGAGATAACTATAAATTATGCACATATATAGGCATATAGATGAAATATATACCAACGATAAATAGTTGAGTCGTCATTCAACGTATTAAAATATCTAAATAGTTACAAAAAGTGTGCCTATACATTTTGGACAAAACGTGTTTTTCGGCTTTTAATAATATGCATTTTGGTTAGTTTAATATAAATCAGAATTATCCATTTAAATATTTAGTTGATTTATGAAAATAATATTTGATTATAATCTTATCATGAGTTTTTAAGATTTTAAAAGAGAAATAAAAAAATCTTTCTGTCTTGTTAAAAAAAATAAAATACAATTTGTGTCAACTAGAAGTAAAATTATCATTCATCTAAATAATCTAATTATCAAGTAATTATTTTTAACTTTATTGTAATGTTTTTTTTAATAAATTATCGATCGAGAAGTTTAATTTCCTACATGTCTACATTTTATAATTATTGTGTAAAATAATAGCAATAATATATATAATAATATATAATATGGATATCTATATAAATGTGTCTAACGCATAGGACGTATTAAAATTTGAGAATTAAATAAAACTATAAAAATTGTAGTTGCAAAATATGAAAGAGAAAATTTAACCTAATCCAACTTAATATTTGTTCATAAGTTATCTGTTTTAAGTTTGTAAATTTCACTTAACAAATGATTCAAATAATTATTATTTATTGTACACGGGCACAAA